TCCCTCTGTCTGCCTCACTCGATCTCACAAACTCTCTCTCTCTCCCTCTCCCTCTCGATGTCGCTCGATCTATCTGTCTGGTTGGAGATCTCGATTCGTCTCTCTGTTTTGCATATGTATATATATATATTAATTTTTTTGTATGTATACTGCAAATCAAATAAGATATTAAAAAAAATTATATGTATTCGGTTTTATCTGATAAAACAAATAAAAAAATTAAAAAAAAATTATTTGTTTTATCTGATAAAACAAATAAATAAATAAACTTATTAATAAATAAATAAAATAAGGTAAAAAAACTTATTAATAAATAAATAAATAAACTTATTAAAAATAAATTTTGTCAACTTATAAAATTATAAACTTTGTAAACTTATTAATAAATCAAATAAGGTAAAAAAAACTTATAAATAAATAAACTTATTGATAAATAAATGAACTTTGTAAATTTTTTCCCCCTTAATTTGGGATTGAATTGCATTATGGTTGTTATGGGTGATGTTATATTGTTGAAATTTAATTGAATTGATGAATTTTTTGTTATGGGTGATGCATTATGGTTGTTATGGGTGATGCAACATTAATGTTTTGTTTTATTTGTTTACCATAAATTTTAGGAAATGAGTTACATTACTAAAAAATTGTTTTGTTTTGTTTTAGGAAATGAGTTACATACAATTTGTTTTGTTTGATTTGTTTACCATAAAATTGTTGAAGTTTTATTTTATGTATGTTACATTACAAAAAAACTGTTGAAGTTTTATTTTTGTGTATGCTACATTACTAAAAATTGTGAAAAAAATATTTTTTATGAACGTATCCCCGCTGTATCCGTATCCTACTTTTTTGAATTTTGTCATATCGCCGTATCCGTATCGTATCGTACCCGTATCCCGTATTCGTGCTTCCTAGGAAAAAGAATTCTAGGTACTAAAAAAAAAAGGTTTTAAATGGATGAATTCAAATTTTTATCATTTGTTGTCTGTGGTCTATGTAATTTTAATTTTCACCAACACGCTTTACTTGATCTTTTAGTGTGAATGAGAAATGCCCACTTTCAGTTCCAGCAAAACCTTCAAAGTCTAGAATATCAAGATTAGCAATGATTTCTTCATTTTCTCAGAAAATGGGTGATGCAAGAGGGAAAGTTAAGCCTCTTTCCAAGCTCAGTTCAACCCCAAATCCCAAGGTCAAGCAAGTTACAGCCAAGTACTTAACTACTCCCAGGAACAAAAATTGCCTTCCTAGTCCAAACTCCTTTCGAAGTGTTCAGAACCTGAAGCCAACAAACATTGCAGAACCAAAGAATAGAACGGTAGCAAAGGCTTTGGTTTTCCAATCCCCAAAGAAAGTCATCAGCATAAAAACTTCATCGGAATTGCGTACTCCTTTAATGAAGATTTGTGAAGGGATGAAAAGGCTTGAGATAGCCAGTCAAAGGAAGTGCATATTGGGGCATTCTACCAAATCATCGAAGGACATTAGACGCGATCCTGACAAATCATTGCCTTTGAATCCTTCTAGAACAAAACTTAGTGCTTACAAGGACAAAAGCAAGGCCAAGGAATTGTTTAGGCCTCCAAACTGCAAGGAGAAGGGAAATAAATCTTTAAGATGTATCGAGAAGGGAAATAAACCTTGCAACTCTATGCCCAAGGAAACGGTTGAAAATGACTTAAGCAGCATGGAGATTGACATGAAATCAAGGGATGGCTCGGTATTTGTTGGCACCATAAATCTGTAATTTTTATTATTATTTATTATTTATATAATTGCAGGACATGTGGCATCCTCCTACTCATTTGGAGGTTATGAGAAGTTATGAAATGCGAAAAAGATGTTAGAGAATAAAGTGGAGAACATGGAGCATTAATTGGAGGTTAAAGGAAGTTATGAAGACATGAAGGAATATGTGGCATTATAGGAATGAAGATGGAAAAGTGAGTAGTTTTAGGTGGTTATTGGGTAGTTATTTCTGGAAGCTTTTCCTGCAAATATTTGTCTATAAATAGCCATTCATGGCTACATTGTAAGATCCAGAATTCATAATCAAAGACACTTGATTTCAATATTTCTTGTCATTTTCCTTATCTTAGGAGTAGTTTAACATAGATTTATATTTCGAAGCATTTACTTTCAGCATTTTCATTTCGAAGCATTTCATGCACTTCCTTTTCGAAGCATAGGAGTAGAGGTAAGTAATTATTACTTTGATTGTTCACTCAATCGTCTTTCTCTATCTCCCTTTCTTCTTTTAATTTTTCTTTTTTCTACACTTTGGCAATTTTGAAGTCCTCTTTGTTGAGGCAAAAGAACCGTCAACACAATCGTTTGATAATTGGCTTGAATTTAATCTGTAAGGATTTTTCAATCCTTGCTCGCACGCTTGCATTTATAATATTTTCCTTCGTAGGAAAAATAAGCCAACATTTTTGGCACGCCCAGTGGGACAGCCAAGTGTAAGAAATGACAAACAATTTGGATTTCGGCATTCGAACTTGTCAATTTGAAATATATTGGCGTGAAAGAAAAATTTTGGATCTTCAAGAAGAGATCCATTTTCTTGATGAAATAAACTTTCGTCCATTACAATATTATTTGGTGGAAGAAAAAAGACACCATTTAATTGAAAAAATTCATCAACTTGATATGGAAATTCACCAATGGAATGATGAGTTATCAACTCTCACTACCAAGTCTATAACTGAGGTTTTAATGGCCGGAATTGGTGAATTTTTTCAGAATTTTTCCATGGTTGAAAATAGCAAAAGCAAAGAGTTTATTTCATCAATGGCTCGGGGGGTTCAAGAGTTCGTTTTTAAAGAGCCAAATTATGAAATTAACACAATGAAAGAGCATGTTCTTGAGCCAAATTTGGCTAAGAATGATGTTCCATGCATGACTCGAGGGATCCAAAAACCAAATTTTAGAGAGTCAAGTCATGAAAATAACATATCTATGGGTGATTTTCATAAGCCATTAATGGCTAACATGGAAAAACAACCCACTTTGCCAAATAATTATGAAAACCTATTCGGCAAAAGTCAAGTTTTTAAAACAAACATGGTCAAGAATAATGAACAAGCCACTGTTCATGAATTCAAAATTTTTGACATTTTTCAAAATGTCAAAAAGTATGAATTTTCATGGTCACACTATACCATGACTTTTGGTGTTCAAAATCCTTTTTGGATTTGTGGTTCACATCAAAATATAATTCTGATGATGTGGCTAATAAAATTAACAAATTGTTCTTATGAGTTCGAAGCACTAAGAACAAGGGATGACCATTTAAAATGCATGAACTTGGCTAGAAAAAGCTTGTGCATTTAAATAAATAGTTGAGAATGGCTTATCTCTTCAAATTGATGGCCAGTTGTTTGTATGTACACAATCAAAGCATCGAAGACACATTCGAAGCATCAAGAGTTGTTTCGAAGGTTGATTACTTCACCTTTGAAGCTGTATAAAGCTTTGAAAATACATTCGAAGCATCAAGAGTTGTTTCGAAGGTTGATTACTTCACCTTCGAAACTGTATAAAGCTTTGAAAACTTTCGAAATGTCTACATCTCTTCAAATATATGTAAAATGACAATTAATTAGTTGTCGAATAATGTCTGTTTTTGGCATGATAAGGTGGTTCGAAGAACAACAGTTTTGGTGTCTTCGAAGAATTAATAATTGGTTCAAAGCACAAAATTAATATTTTCATTAATTATGTATGAACCAGAACATACAAAATGTGAATAACTACAATGTTGGACAAAAGCTGCTTCGAAGGCCCTTTTGCCATAATTTTGTAAGCTCCGAAGCACTCCATCTTGCATTAACAGCTTCGAAGAAACAATAATGGTGGTTGTGAACCTTCGAAGCTTTGCTGAGTATTTCTAAGGATGTAATTTGTCCTTTGTCGGCACTTTCAACCTTCGAAAGATGATTTTGGTCCTTTGTACCACTTTCGAAGCTTGTTACTAGTCCGTAATAGCTAGCATTCGAGACATCTAGTCATAATTTCATACTCATTTGAAACACTTTATTGGTGCTATTATATCATTCGAAGCACTTTGTTGATATTATTCGAAGCACTTTATTGCTTAAATTAGTTATGTGCTTGGTTCGGCCCTTCAAAAATTCAAGTAAACATCATTTTTAAGGGCCACGGGGGGTAATGTTGGCACCATAAATCTGTAATTTTTATTATTATTTATTATTTATTATTTATATAATTGCAGGACATGTGGCATCCTCCTACTCATTTGGAGGTTATGAGAAGTTATGAAATGTGAAAAAGATGTTGGAGAATAAAGTGGAGAACATGGAGCATTAATTGGAGGTTAAAGGAAGTTACGAAGACATGGAGGAATATGTGGCATTGTGGGAATGAAGATGGAAAAGTGGGTAGTTTTAGGTGGTTATTGGGTAGTTATTTCTGGAAGTTTTTCCTACAAATATTTGTCTATAAATAGCCATTCATGGCTACATTGTAAGATCCAGAATTCATAATCAAAGACACTTGATTTCAATATTTCTTGTCATTTTCCTTATCTTAGGAGTAGTTTAACATAGATTTATATTTCGAAGCATTTATTTTCAGCACTTTCATTTCGAAGCATTTCATGCACTTCCTTTTCGAAGCATAGGAGAAGAGGTAAGTAATTATTACTTTGATTGTTCACTCAATCGTCTTTCTCCATCTCCCTTTCTTCTTTTAATTTTTCTTTTCTCTACACTTTGGCAATTTTGAAGTCCTCTTTGTTGAGGCAAAAGAACCGTCAACACAATCGTTTGATAATTGGCTTGAATTTAATCTGTAAGGATTTTTCAATCCTTGCTGGCACGCTCGCATTTATAATATTTTCCTTCGTAGGAAAAATAAGCCAACAGTATTAGGTAGTTCAAGGATTACTGAAGGAAATGCATGTGAGGAATGGTTGTCAACTGAGAAAACATCAGGAGATTTGGATACCATAAACTCTAATCGAGAAGAAGCTGTTACTTGCTTAGAGGTAGTGCCACTAACAAAGAATTCAGACATGGTGTTGTTAGATGCCTCAAGAGGCGAAATGAGCACCTCATCAAACTCTGACGAAGGGAGTTTGGAAGAAAATGATTTCCCCAAATTTGAAGAAAACTCTGAAGGGGGCAATTAGAGCAGTGAAGGAATTGACAAGGAAGGAAAAACAAAAGCAAGTTCGGAGAAGAGAGAAAGCCCAGAAGACCACAGCACCGAATCTAAAAATTTGGGAGTAATAGGACATGAAGGTGAAGCCGTGGACAGCGATGACAAAGAAAATGCTTTGGCCTCTGATGGTAACAAGTGTGAGGCTAGTTTTGAAAGAAAAATATTTCGCAAGCGGGAGACAAATGAAATTACTAAAAAGGTTCTATTTCTTTTTCTCTTGTGTTCTAGAATAACAAGAACTTTATCACATATAATTTTCTGTTTCATATTAGATGGTTGCATCATCTCATTATTTTGTTTAGCTTATACTTTTGAAATTAAGTAGGTTAACCAAACACAGGACAAAAAATTGAAAGAAGGGCTCATTATAGATACCACTGGTGCTCAAGGGGTGAAGTATAAAAAACCAAAACCCACAAATCCCAAGCCTTTCAGGAAGGACTGATGTAAGCCGTGTTTTTCCCAAATTAAATTATGTACAAAAAAAATATGTTCTTGCTTGTCACATGTAATAGAACTGATGATTTTTTAGGAGAGAGGAATTCTTAACGAAGCAAACTTGGAGAGGAAAATGCAAGCACTAGTTCCTCGTAAGGAAATTGTAGCAGCCTCAACGCTCCCAGGCAGAAGTTTGCACAAAAAGCATGGGAATGAAATCCAAGTGAGCATTTTCTTGTGGGGATTATTTCTTGTATTTATCATTGAATGAATAATACTGAAGCCAGATATTTTGCATTTGATCGCAGAGAAATGAGAAGTGCCTCGAACAAAGAAAGTGCAATCACGATACAAGTGAAAGCAGTGGTTCAAAAGTTTGAGATTTCCTGAAAAAATTCTTTATCTTGTAATTTGCAGAAATAGAGTCGAACAGCTTCAGAAGGACAAGCATATCCAAAAATAGCTACTATAACCCCACAGAGATGTTCCAAATCAACACAACAAAAACCTAAACCAATAACCTCCAGAGTTGAATATGGCAGGGATGTTACTAGTCAAAAATTAGAAAACAGCTTAAGGAAGGCAAAGTCATCTTCACAGCATGAACAGTTTATTAGTCCCAAAGGGTGAGTACTACTCTGGGTTTAGTGTTATCTCATCCTTGATTTATGAAAAATTCTCCATAAGACTGATTTAGCTATACACTTTTCAGGGTTGCTTTAACGAAGAAGGCAATCGCTTGTGGTAAACAACTCACTGTGATAAAGGAAATATCATCAACAGCTTCAAGGTCTGAGGAAGCAGGAGATCCAAGCCGTAGTGATATTAGCCATGCAAATAAAGCTGCTACTTCTTCTGCTTCCAGGTCATTGTCATGGGGAAAAAGGCCTTTAACCATTCCAAAGGAGCCAAATTTTCACAACATCCACGTACCCAAGGAAAGTGGCCTAGGCGAATTGTTATTATCTTCTTCTTGTTCAATTTTTTATTGAATTATATTTGCTTGTTTAAATTTATTTACTTTCCATTTCATACATAACGCTCTGCAACTTTGTAATAGTTGAGGTAACTAATGTATTTGTGTGTATTCATCTACAAAGACATGCAATAAATTGTTTCATTCTTTCAAGTCTACATCATTTCAGTTTTATGAATTTATGTACTCCGTGTTTTTGCCACCTTGAACAGTATTTTTTGCGATATATATATATATATATATATTATTTTGTGGTGTTTACATGTAAAAAGAATCATGATACCGTTATGCTGACTTTAGACACATTAGCTTAAACTTCTTGAAGCAAGCTCACTATGCATGTAGTTAACTTGAAAGAAGATAAAGCTAAAACAAAATTGCTTAATCAAAGTGTAAATGAAGTTGTTATTTAGTCTATTGATATAATTAATCAAAATTTTACAAAATATGTAGACATTTATTTTTATTTTTTTAAAAAAAATGGGTGAACGAATGCATATAGCTGCAAAAAATAAAAGCCACCTCTATCCCCTTGAGGACTGTTGTGTGTACACTTATCAAAATACTTCTGCAATTAAAAGAAATAAGATGATATTAGAAGATTCAATTCTTCTAAAAGGCTGTGTATTTTAACAGCATTCTTTATGTCATGGTTTAGCTTGATAACCAAAAGCCCAAATAGATTTATTTTTCAAGTCAGTCATGATGAAATAGGTAAAATGGAAGAATTTCCTTGGACGAAATCACAGTCCTAGCTTCACAATTAAAGAATCCTATTCTCTTGGTTCTTCTACCAATCTTGAAGTATAAGACTTGTACTTTGAAGAGAAAGGGATAAGACAGAAAAAAGAATCAAAGCCAATGGACCTGATCCCATCTTTGTCATTGTTGCATTATCAATTTGCTCATAAAGGAGAAAGGCCTTCATGTGTAATAAATACGACTCAATCATGTTGGGTAAGGCTGTGTACATCTTGCCTTCCCTATACACTGGTGGGACTGAGGTCCCCCTTTTTTTAAAAATTATTTCCCATTACTTGACAAATGAAGCATTAAAATGCAGCATAATCAACTCAAATTATATAAAAAAAAAAAATGAAGTTCCGCAGATTGAGAGCAGAGCTTCTCTCTCTAGGAGATTTACAGCAGTGCTCTGGTGATACTCCGACAACTCCTTTTACACTTCTAAAGTGTAGATCTACAGTTTTAGAGTGTAAATCTGAACTTTTTATATCTGAAATAGGGGTTTGAGAGTTTTTTTTCCCTAATTTCGTCATAGATTTTTAGATTTTTGATACTCACAATGATTCTCTCCTCTCTCAAACCTTCTCTCATAAATTTTCTCGTTTTCATATACTTAATATTATTTTTGATACAAAGGCGGTGTTTGGCAATGGGTTGGGCAGGCTATTTTAGCCTCAAATAAAAAAATAAAAAAAAATAAGTCAGGTAGCCTGACTGTAGCTAAGGTAGAGAGCATCAATCTAACTGGATGTCATTATCTGGGTAAAAAGACATTTTTACCCTTTGTAGCTCATATCCAAAAGTCAAAAAGTGACAACTGAAGACAGGCTTTTTACCCTTTGTAGCTCATAGCCTGACTGTAGTTGAGGTAGAAAGCTTGAGGCTATTTTTTGTACTCCCTCCGTCTCAAAATATTAGTCTCTTATTCCATTTTTATTGTCCCAAAATATTTGTCCCTCTTCAAAAATCAAGTACAAAAATAATATCAATTTCCTATTTTGCCCTTCTTTAAATTCATAAACAATATAAAAAGTACAATTATGACATTGATATTTTCCAAAAAATGTACTATCAAGGGGTAATTTTAAAAAATTAATTTTTTTAAAGTACAATAATTGTACTACCAAAAAAAGTTGGATTCCCCAAAAGGGACCACTATTTTAGGACGGAAAGAGTATTAGTAATGAATTTGAAAGAAGGATAAAATAGAAAATATATATTATTTTTTTCATTAATTTTAAAAAAAAGACTAATATTTTGGGATAATAAAAAATTAATATTTTGATGCCGAGGGAGCAACAAGTTTTGAGTATTTATAATTTCTACAATGAGATTTGTTGGTACACTAATTAATATTTGTTGGTTTACTAATTAATATACAAATTTTATTATAAATATATGCATTGATTTTGTCAAACTAACATCAACTTAATTAATTTATTACAAACAAATTTTTGACCCAAGTCAACACATGACAGACGGTGGCAGTGTCCTTACTGCCACATGTAATGCTGCCTTGTGTATTTTCTTATTTTTTGTATGGACAATTTAGTCATTTTACATTCCACTATCATTTCAAACACATTTTTCAATACAATAACTCAAATAAAAATCAATCCCATCTTCCCAAACACAAAAACTAAAATAGCTTACTAAAATAACTAAAAAGCCTAAAAAATAACCACTTCCCAAACATCCACTAAATATCAAACTAATTGTCTTCTTCTTTTTCTTCTTCTTCTTCTTCTTCTTCTTCTTCTTCTTCTTCTTTATTATAGGTCCAGAGGAATAGTGTTGCTCAAGTTGTAATTGGGATAAATTACTAAAAAGTAGAAGTTATTTTGAAGTATTTTGTTGCAACATCTAAACTGAATTTGCAAACTATTGTTGAGACTTGTGGTACTGTGGATTAAAGGGGATTACTGACTGATTTTATCTCTTTGATTGCCATGATTATTTTGTAGAATGAGATTGAATTGGTTTTCTAATCAGCAGTGCTATTGCTACATGATCACTTCTCATAATTCGAATCTCACTCCCAACTCCTCTTAGATCTCACAAGTGTTGTGCAAAATTGCAGCTTCTTTGATTTCCTTCCTCAATCAAGGCTTTGAATCAAGGAACTCTCAACCAACAATGAAATTGTGATCCAACCGCCACAGCCACCACCCTTCCACCTACGACCACTACCCAGCTCTTCCACACCCGCACGACAATGTTGAGTTAATATTGAGATATTTCTAACACAAATCTAAAATGACATGACACTTATCCTAGATGTGATTGTGTTCTTATCAAGTTTGTTCTCTCCTTAATTGGAGAAGGGGGGAAAAAAAAAACAGAACTATATTCCTCAGTTTGTCAGACAGAAATTAAGATAGAAAAATAAACTGACTTTTTTGTTAGTGTCATCTACCCCATAATTTTAATTTAGAATTTTGGTTTTTATTTTAGTAAATTATATTTACTTGATGTATTACCATACATGTGTATAACTTGAAACACAACTTCTAGTAATAATAAATACGCCAATATAGTTAGGTTATGAGTAACCTCTACAACCAAACCATTCAACAAATGGAACAAAATATCTGAAATTTTTAGTAAGATCAATCTTAACTTCACAACACCACTAAGGGTTTTTAATAGGCTCACTTTTAACCTAAATGGTTTGTGTGATAATATAGACATATGCATGTGTTTATGTAATGGAGATACTTGATCATCGCGTCATGTATGAGGTGGTAGCAATGTAGAACTAGGCTGCAACAGTAGGATCCTACGTTCTATGCACTCCCTAAATGCACAGTGGCCACTCAGATGCATCCAGAACCTACACATTAAAGTATAATTCATTAGACATACGAATAGAATTTTTTTTTTAAATTAAAATTAAAATATAGTAAGTAAAAAAACAAAATTTGTACTGAACATAGAAGGCATCTGAACTCCCTTCTTTGCTTGAAATTAATTCGTCATTTGCTTGATATGTGTAGTGAGTTCTTCCCTGAGCTCCCTTTTGAGCTTCTCACACATCTGTTGTGTGTTTTGGACAATCATTGAGGCCTGCTCCCGCATTAACTTCTCCCAAACTTGTTGAGTGATCTCGACCATCGTTAAGGCTAGGGATGCAAGTGATGGGCCCACACCATGTCTGTACACTGCACTCTGAGGCGCATCCCCCCCATATGTCTGAAAATACCCAAGTTCTGTCGCCTGGAGGGACTCAGGCTCGTCAAAGAGTTGCCAATTATACCCATCCTACATTTTAAAAACACAAGTACACAATGACACAAAAAAAAATTACGATGGTAGAAAAATTAAAAAAGAAGAAAAACACAATACTTGGTGTTGTATCTGCGAGAAGGGTATCTGCCCCATCATAAGAGGTGGGCCATAAGGCTCCCAATTGTAGGAGTTTTAAGTCGATATCTCCTGTAGCATTAGTTCCACATTTATAATATTAGCTAAACATTTAAAGTGATATTTAAACTTTTAGAAATTAATTGAAAGGATGTAAACAAGACAATAAACAACTACCAACATCCACGGACACATGTCCGGATCACTATACAACAAGGGTAAACTCGGGATCGCTATACTATCTGTCCAAGTTGGCCATTCAAGGAGGCATCTTGATCCGCTACCGACTGGAATGTACTGTCAAATTGGATGTCCATCCTAGCACCAGTATTCCACTCCTTGATGGCCCTAGCATAGCCTTGACCACACCTAGTCAAGGTAGAGTTAGAAGTCGCTAGGCCTGAGAGAAACAATGATAATGAACAAGTTAGAGATAAACAAAGTATGGCATGATTTAACATGGCAATTAATGTAAAATCATTAAAGATGTACATACCTGAGGTGGGATGTGATGATGGTAGTGATGTGGTTGCAAGTGATGATGAAGGTGCCAATAATGGTGGCTGTGATCGAGGCTTCTGGGATGATGGCTGTGAGGTAGAGGTGTGAGTGTAATCTGAATGAGCAAGACGATTGTAGCTTTCCTTTGACATAGTAATCTGTAAGAAATAGAATTGATAAATTCAAGATATGGACATAATTAGTTAGCTGAGAGTAACAGCTCATCAATTGAATTAATAATACAAGATATGGACATAAACAGAAAATATGTTACATCTCATTAATTTAAGTAATAATTCAATCCCATCACACTAAAACAAGATATACTTGCGATCATGACCGTATTACATTTCAATAATGATAGTCAAATATGTATTGTAGTACACTAGCATAACTCACAGTATTTGCCTTTAAAGTCATATATCACAATATTGCGTGGCTCAACGATCATCCTGGCCTTTACACAAAAACAAAACTCATTGATTATATAGTTTTAAAACTTCTTTGCCAAGTTTTGAGGACCATCTGACAATCTATTGATTTCTTCAAAAAATATGATATTATTTGTTGTCTACAAAGACTCATTTAAAACAAACATGTAAATTCAGAATAAAGTTATATGTTGGCTGGAATCTATAGATTTAAAGACAAACATGTTCCTTGATCTAGGTGTAGAAAGTTTTGAAATGTTCATGTCAAATCTGATGAACGTCGACACGAGACATTTTGCTCTTAATTACTTCAAGGTTTTTGTTTTGTAGCTTGAAAGATATGTATAGGGTAAATAACAATCGACTTCCTAGAGGTTAAGCCAAAAAATGATATGCCTCTTGAAGTTTGATTTACACTAAACCCCATGGTGTCAACACCTAAATGAAAAATGAATAGTTTATAACAAAAAAAATTTCAAATTACAAAAATAACTATTTTATTTCCCTCCATTCTCTCTTTTCTTTTTCTTCTCTCTCATCCCACCACTATTACCCATAACCACCACCTAAAATCACCACTACCACCCACCTCCACCACCACCACCACCACCACCACCATATATATATAGAAATAGAGAGAGGAGAACAAGATGAGGTTTATATTGTTGTGATATATATACTCACAACCATTTTTTTTGTTCATCGCAGCCATGTTGTTGATAGCATTTGCATCATTAGTGAATGGTGGGTTCTCAGAAATCAAAGGAAAAAACTTCTAGTACCCCTTGCCTCCTCCTCTTCCATTGGCACAGCGCCTTCCCTCTCCCACCCCATCATCACAATCCCTCACATCCCTCATCCCCACCCCCATCCTCACTCCCCAACCAAATCGAAACCAAATATGTAAACTTTGGCAAAAGGGAAGACTGAGGAAGAAAGATGGAGAGAGTTGAGAGAACACAAAAAGAAAAATAAAGAAGGAAAAAGTGAAATTTACTTTAGTGGCATTAATTTCACTATAAAATTTTAATAATACAATTTAAAATAAAATAAAATATCTATTTTTGGGGTGTCACACCTACACACTGTTAGTTTGGATGCAAAACATCAATTTTCACTTTGTTATCGACTCCAGGGGGTTAAATGTCACAAATCAAATTTCAATAGGGCACTGCATTTTTTGGCCTAACCCCAAAGGGTAAAAGTATAATTTACACAATTATGTAAATATCATATACATTTGAATATAAAAATTATTAAGATTGGGTTCGTGAGATAGCTTACTATATGTTCACACCAATGAGTTTGTACCCATGCATTATTTTTTTATTTTTTTATTGGCACCAGGGTGTCCGGATCAAAACCCAACTAATCCCCAAGGGTGCATAGGCCCTTAGCAAGGAGTTTCCCGCAAGTGCACCACGGTTAATTCCAAAGTTTTCCCAATCCAATGGCCCCAAAAAATTGTTAGCACCAAAGAGGTTTTGATCCTTGAACCTTGGAAGGAGCACACTCCCAAGACCTAAGGCCTTGCACCAAACCAACCCCTTGGTGTTATACCCATGCATTATTTATCTAGATAAAAAAAATTATGGTCTTCCCAGTAGCATAATCCACATTATCAACACCATCATAGTTTCTCAATGGTCAATTAGATTTAGTTTTCCACATCATGGAGTTATTGTGCAGAAAAATTTATATAATCTTCCATCAAGTAACCTTTAGCTACATTATACGGACTCGTCAGTTTTGGCGAAATACCCATGTCGACACGACACTGTAAGTTTTTCTGAATGATCTGTATATTCAACTTGTACGTAATACAAAGATTACAACCAATATTTATAGCAATCCTAAACCTAATCTATAATAGGAAATAATCCTATACAATCAATCTAGAATCAATTGAATTCACATATTTCCATGATTACATAATATTCTCACACCTCCACTCAAACTCATGGTGTTTTCTAGATGTTTTAGCAGAAAACACTAAAAGTTTGTCAAGAAACTGAAATCGAGCAGTGGTGTAAGTCTTCGTAAAGAAATCAGCAAGTTGCAATGTCGAAGAGACACAAGGAAGCGAGATAGAACCATGGAACCAGACTGCAGATACTGACGTACAAAATGACAATCAATCTCGATGTGCTTCATTCGCTCATGAAAGACGGTGTTATGTGCAATCTGAATAGCATTGCGGTTGTCACAGTAAAGAGAGGTCAGAGAAGACTGAGGGACACCTAAATTAGTCAAGAGACAATGAAACCAAACAATTTCAGTAATGGCATGAGCCATATCATGGTACTCAGCCTCAGCAGTGGAGCGTGCAACAATAGTCTGTTTCTTGCTCTTCCAAGAAATTAAGGAATTCCAAGAAACATGCAAAAGCCAGAAATGGACTTGTGATCAGTGACATCACCAGCCCAATCACAATCAGCATAAGCTACCAAGTCCAAAGAGGAAGTAGAAGACAACAGTAAACCCTGAAATATAGTATCCCGGAGATAGCGAAGAATCCGAACCAAAACAGCCCAATATGTAGAACGAGGAGCATAAACGAAATGACTAACCACATGAACAACATAGGCAAGATCCAGGTGAGTAACCGTCAGATAGACTAAGCAATCTACGAGCTTTTGATATAAAGTAGGATCATCTAGAAAAACACCATCAGTAGGGGTGAGTTTCACATTAAGCTCGATGGGGGCATTAGAAATCTTAGTGTCAGTAAGACCAGCACGATGAATAACCTCATTGGCATACTTGGCCTGAGAGAGAAAGTAGCCCTTAGAAGAAGAACCCACCTCAATACCAAGAAAATACTGCAAGGGGTCTAGATCCTTCATTTCAAAAGTGCGAAAAAGATGCTGTTTGACCTCAAAGATAGCAGAAGAGTCAGAACCAGTGATGATCATATCATTTACATACAAATCCAACAGAGGTGTGAAGAAGAAATAAAGCAGAGTCCTGAAGAAATAAAGCAGAGTCCTGAGCACAATGATGAAATCCAAGCGCAATAACAGCAGTCTGAAAGTGATCATACCAAGCACGAGGAGACTGCTTCAGACCATACAGAGCGCGCCGAAGGCGACAAACCTGTCCAAAGGAATGGTGAAGGTCAGGGGAAGGACGCATGTAAACCTTCTCGGTGAGATGGCCATTAAGAAAAGCATTCTTAACATCTATCTGATAAAGAGGCCAAGAACGAATAACAATGACAGAGATCAAAGTACGGACAGTAGTCATCTTGGCAACAAGAGCAAAGGTCTCCTCATAATCACTACCATACTCCTGTGAGAAACCTTTAGCAACCAAACGAGCTTTGTAGCACTCAAGAGAACCATTAAAATGAGTCTTGACTTTGTAGACCCATTTGCAACCAATCAGATTCTTACCTGTAGGCAAAGGAACCAACTTCCAAGTACTAGTTTTCTGTAAAGCAGACAACTCATCCTCCATAGCTTGAATCCAATAGGGATCCTGACAAGCCTCCTTGTAAGGCTTAGGTTCTGAAAAAGAATGACTAGTAGACAAAAAAATACAATAGAAAGCAAAAAAACATGTATTAGACCAACCCAACCTGTTTGGAGGATGATGCACTCAAGTAGGATCTCGGTGTGCAGCAAGATTGGAGTCATCAGAAGCAGGAAGAGTAGCAGTAGGAACAGAGACAATTGGTGGAGGAAGAGCCTGGCGACGCGAATAAACTAACAATAGAGGAAGAGAAGGAGCAAGATGGAGAGATGGAGGAGAAAATGGAGTAAGGTCAAGGGAAACAGTAGAGATGTACTCATCAGGAGGGACTTCAAAAGGAAATGGATCAATGTGAACCAAATCCTCTTTGAACAGTGATAGGAGGAAACTAAAAGTAAGGCAGATGTTCGAGAAAAGAAACATAATGGGAGACGTAAACACGACGGGAAATAGGGTTGTAACACCGATAGTCTTTCTGAGTAAGACTATAACCCAAAAAGGCACATAGGACAGACCGGACACTAAGTTTGGTCCGATCTTTACAGGGAAGAAGGACAAAACAAGCAGACCCAAACACACGAAGGAGGGGGTAATTGGGAAGTTGAGAGAACAGAGCCTCATAAGAAGACTGACCAAAAAGAAAAGGAATAGGTATGCGGTTAAGAAGAAAAGCAGCAGTAAGAACTGCCTTGCCCCAAAACGAAGCTGGAACTGAGGCAGAGAGAACAAGAGACCTAGCTGTCTCAAGGAGATAGCGGTGTTTACACTCGGCTCAACCATTTGGGTAGGTGTATCAGTACAAGAAGTTTGGTGAATGGTATCCACATTGACCAAATACTTACAGAACTCAATTTTAAAATATTCCCTACCCAAGTCAGAGCGTAACAATTTAATGGAAGAAGTGGATACGACATACAGAAATAAGAAGAAAGATGGCATACCTGCAATTAAGGTTATAAAATGGAGATTAGGGCATCGATCCCGCGATTAGGGCTTTGATCTTCTTCTCTCGGTCTGTCTTCTTCTCTCACTCTCACTCTCGATTATCTTCGTCTCTCTATTTTGATCAACTTCGTCTCTCCCTTCTCTCTTTTCTTCTCTCTCATCTCTCTGTTTTCTTCTCTCACTCTCGATCCGTCTTCTCTTCTCTCTTCTCTGCTCTCTCCCTCTTTTTTTTAATTGGTGTTTATCATATATAATATATATAATTTAATTTATCATATATAATATATCATAAATAATATAATGAGAGCAACTCATTTTGTCTTCCAAGAAAAGGTGTACTGGCTCTTGAAAGTAGTCACCAACAAGCTAATAAACTTTCACCTTTTCACCTACCAATCAAAAGTCAAAAGACAAAACAACTAGCATCCACCTATCAATTATATAATAATAAATCTAATTCAATCATATATAATAAAAATAAATAAAAAATCTAATAAAATCTATAAAATGCATTATCTATTTTTTATTTATTTTAACATAATTTGTTATTCCTTATTTATTATATTTTTGTTATTTATAATATATATGTCAATTAAAAGTAAAAAATAAATTATATAGATAAATTAAAAATATTATCAATAAAAATAATAAATATATTTAAAAAATTAACTATTTAACGTATCCTCATACCCGCAGCCAAATTTGAATCCATATCAATGTATCCTCCACTTTTAGTTTTGAAGTGTCCGACCCCTAGATACGCACCTGCACCCAATGCCCACACTCGAGTCCATGTAACGTAGAACCCATCTAATAACTTGGCCCAAAATAAAACCCATGGGCAACTCCTAAAACGCATGTCCAACAATTATTAAAATTACCATAATACCCTTAGTACTAAAACCTATTATAATGACATAAATTTGTCTAGCAACGCAATAAATTAAAATAAATATATATAGAGACTCAAAATATTCCAAAACTTCAATCTTTGAAAACTTAAACGTACTTTATGTGGAATTCCGGATTTCTTCTTTCCATGTTTGCCATCACTAAAACCCTTACACCTCACTAAGAGATTAAGGGTTCAAGTCTTGTCAAAGAAATACTCCTCATCCCTACACTATGGCCCTCGATGTACCAAGGAATGGGTAAATTACTCTTTCAACCTCCAACTATCACCAAAATTTAACTTTGGTATACTACCAATTACAACAATTAAGTTGTCAAACTTGACCTCATGTTTCAATGTGGTCCACCCATCACTCAGTGTCAAAATTTTGTATAGAAAACACTGCACATTTTTTGGAAGATAGAAATTATAGCATAAATTATATTTTTCACCTTTCAACTTGAACTCAAATTCCACTTTGGTCATTTATGTTTCAAATTTTTAATGAAGAGTGATGAGATAATCACATTGAAACAAGAGTTGCAGTTTGAGGACTTAATTATTACAATTAGAATGTGAGGAACCAAGGTAAAATTCATATGAAAGTTATAAAAAGAATTGTATACACTTGTACACATATGATGAACACGATTATAAAATGTGTTTTTGCACATATGTGAATGCCACCCCAACAGTCTCTCTCACCCCTCCACCCCAAACCTCTCTAATGCCTTCCTCCCTTTCCCAAACCCATATCTGCCACCCTCATCACTCTTCCCCACCCCTCTACCACCATCCTCCCCCTCCCTTTCCCCTTCATCGCTCCCCACCCTTCCACCACCACCCTTTTTCCCCTCTCACATCCATACATGCCACCATCATCCCCTGTCTACCACCATCGTAAACCATCAACAAGAAGAATTCAACATAATATCCAGATCTAAAATTACACACACACACACAGATGACTTTCTGGTGAAGTCAGGCATGGGCACACAGCAGTGGTGGCGACTTTGGAGGTGTTCGAAGGTGGTGGTTGTTGATACTGATTAGTTACTGATGTAGGTGATTGCCAACGTTGGTGGTTGCCATTGGAGAGCTACAAAAGTGAGATAATGAATGAGTGAGACAGCTATGAGAGAGAGAGAAAGAGAGAGAGAGAGAGAGAGAGAAGAAAATATTTGGGGAAGAAATTTAGGGAAAGTCGGGGGAAACAAATAGAGAGCCAAAACATTGTCGTATTACAATCGAGTTTTTTTGCTACGACAACAACGCTGCCATAAAAGTGTAGTATTTGTGACGGAAACCTCTAATTGTCACATATATGATATAGTTGCTTACTTTTTTGGATGATGGAACATGCTGTCACAAAAAATTGTAGACACTTTTGCATTAGCAAGGTAATGCCATAGCAAACACTCACTTTTTACGACAACGTTGTCATTACAAATATTTTGGTCGCTAATAATATTTTTCACAATGACAAAAAGGTCAACGTTTTGCAACGATATTTGCACCGTTGCAAATATTTCCAATGCAAATACCCATTTTCTAGTAGTGTTAATCCTTCTAACCTCATCATCCATCAAGTATTTCCCCTTTGTTCCTTGCAGTTATGGTTTCACTACCACAAAAAAATCTTGATGTTGGTATGAACTGTTCAGAAGTTGGAGGAGCATCAATCAGCACACCACGAGGAAAATTATGTTGTTCTTGCAATTCTACCACCTCTTGAATTTTCTCCTCGACGTGTTTTCCCAACAGTGCGCGTGCGACAATCATCCATTGTCCAAGTCCATCTACTTCTTCCTGAAGTCTTTGCATGGATTCTATCATCTCTTGCGCATTTTTACACCAATGTTGAGCCACTTTCCTTGGTCTTTTGGCTGGATGATGCTCTGCGCCTCTCAGTTTTGTTTTTACATCATCGACTTTAGTGCTCAAATCCTTTAACTTTCTTTTGAGATTTTTCAAGTTTGGATTAAGGTTTATGTAATGTCCCAACCATTTACTAAATAATGAATATATGAATTCCATGGTGTGGTCAATTCCTGCAAATATAGAAGTTGTGAGGGATTGTAGTTAAAAGGGAAAAAATCCTGAAGAAAACCACAATATCAATTTTGACGGTTGTTATAAAGAAATTTGAAATTTGATTATAAATTTATGAGTGGAAAAAATCAAGAGAGAAATAATGCTAATATGAGCAAATTGACTTCATATTTACCTCAAAATAATAGAAAAAAAGTCCTCTTTTTTTTTGGGCAGGTTAGAAAATTAGTCTCGAATCACTGACAAAATGGTGATATTGCTACAAATAGATATCAGTAACAATGAACAAGCATTTACCTTCTTGAATTTTTTGCTATGACATCATGTGACATCATTTGTAAAATATTTCACATAGGCTGATGTTTAGAAACAGAAACAAGTGTAAGATCCATAAGAGAGTTTGGAACCATTCAACATCTAAACCCCACAAAACATCTACAGAAGAAGAAGAAATAATTAAAATTTATCTATGAAAAGGAAATGTATGCCTAGGGTTTAAAATTCATCATGAAGTTGCCACACTTTGGCCAAATTTTATATATGAATATGGCACTCAAGCTGAAGTACACATGGAAAAATGCTTCAGCCACTTTTAAGAAATATAACAAACCAGCTACAAAATTTGGCATATGTAGGAGTAGTTATGCCGTTAACAGTTCTGCTGAAGCTTGAAGAGAAAAATCGAGGATTTGATAACATTTGTTAATCCAAAGCTGATAACGAACTACAAGAAGTGGATGGGCAGTGGTCGCCAAGGTTCTAAATTTAGAAAATGGTTCCTAATTTGCAAATCCTTGTCATATTTAGACCAATTTGTTAGAATTGCCCAATTACAATTACAGTTTGAAAGCCTAGGTTTTCTATGCACACGGTTTTTTTTGTTAGTTGCTACATTTTTACGAAGTTAAATGGAATGCTTTTCGGACATTTCCATCAAGAGTCTGGAATCTCAATTCTAAAATAACTCGTGAAAAATCATAGGAGCCACTGTGTTTGTAAAGTGGGACTACTATATACGCCCTCCTATCATAACAAAAGTTAGGAATTTTTTTCGTGTTAGTTACAAATTATCGTGGTGTAATTACCAAGAAGCATACCCTAAGAAAAATCTTAGTTATAAACTATTGTGGTAATGTATGAACATTAAAAGTTACAAATTTTGTGGTGAGCAAAGTCGTTAACATTTTTATTACAAATCATTGTGGGGTCACAATTACGCTTGAAATCAAAGTTTTTTTAATCCTGGCCAAAATAGCAATCCTATTGTTCATGCGTAAAGTTGAAGAAGACCCAGTCACCTTTGATATGTAAGGCCCACATGAAAATATGGTGCCTAACGATGCATATATGCATGCATTACATCATAGCAACCTGGGCTTCAGGCAGTGGGTGTGTGGTTCTTTTGGTAATACATATACTTTTGCCAACCATCATAATATACTACTAGAAGGGTGGTGCATTTTTTTTATTCCGTGATATTATATCCTTCAACTTTTGAAAAAAATTAATTTGTAAACTACCCGCTAATGCAATGACAAAATACCAATATAAACTATTTTTAGAAATCTTTTCATGAATTGTATTCACCTACTTGTACTCATAAATAAAACATTCTATTTAAGTATTTACCTAATATCCGTATCTGCTTATGTCAGCCGCTTGACCCAAGCCCCCCTCTGCATTAGCACATGCAATGCCATCTGTTTGGACAAGTAAATATATTGATTGGAGCTTGTGTACTATTTTGACTTGCTTAGCTTTAATATGTAGTTCACTTGTTGAATTTTTCCTTCACAAACCTGACATAACTTTAAAATCAAAAAACAACCCAAATATCTATAGACGTGCATATAGGTCAAGTCAGTTCAATTTCAGACATGTCTAGAATAAAACTAACCAAAAATAATTCTCACATTATGGAACTGAAAACTAGACCAAGAACCAAATTAGTTTTTTAATTTTTCTTTTTCTTTTAGACTTTTGTAACCCAAGTTGAGAGATACTAAGAATCTCTACATCTAGTTCAAATTTACACTCCTAAAAAAAATTATAAATTTAGCATAGAAAATCTCAGTGCTCTTTCTAAGAATTTTCTTCAAGAGAAAAAAATAAAATAAAACAAAGGTTTTATACCCCTGTTTTGTGGTCTAGAAAACAAAGAAAATAATTTGTGAAACAAACCTTGAAGCTTTGTCCAAAAGACAACAGAGAACTCAAATACTGAGAAGGATTCTGAGATAGAAAAAACCTGCCACCAACTTTCGATCGACCTTTCCCTTCTACCAAAAAAAAACAATGAGGTAAGCAAATAGACATTTTCGATTACAAACTTTTGACATTAAGGAAAAACTGAAAAACTAGAGTAGACTGATTATAAAGGATCAAGAACTCAAATTAGTGAAACTACGAAAAAATGAATTACAATGATCTTTTCCATCAATTGCAGTCAAAAGTAAACAAATTAAATAAAAAAATGTGAATGGGAATAGGAATAGGAATAGGAATAGGAGAATTAGGGCAGGGAGGTGATAGAAGAGGGCCATTTTGCTCCAAGGAGGCTTCTGTTTGGTTGATTCAAAAGTGACAACAACATCAGAACTGAGATCATGTTTTCACCTCACATAATTTTATTTTATTTTTTAATTTCATCTAACATAATTCAACTTCCATGGAGTTTATGAATATCTTAGCACCCACATTCCTAAATAAAAAATATATATATATATATAAAAATTATTAGAAGCCATTACAAGCAAATTGTGGCCGATAATTTGTTTGTCGTGCACTCACATAATGAGTGTCTCCCATCTAATTGTACAAATGTGGTTACGTTTTTCATTTTATCAATTCATGAAACATCTGAAAGTACTTACAGAGAGATAGATTTTTTTTTTTTTATTTAGAATCTAACAATGCATTTTCGAAAATTTTCAATATTGGTATCATAAATTAAGGGGTTGTTGCAAATTAGTGGAAAGTCGGTGTGGGAGGGAAAAATCCTCGCAATGTGAAGAAAGTAGGATGACACCTCCCAAGTTTGAAATCCCTGCAGGAACCCAAACACCATTAGTGCTGCTGCCCAGCCGGTTATGTCAGCCGGAGAGCGCTCTGACACTGCCTACAGAAATTGTGAGAAGAGATAACCAGGGGTATATGTCTGAAGGTGTTCTATTCATACCACTGTTCAACCTCTTCATATATATATATATATAGGGTAAAGTAACCCATCTTCTCAGAGACATCAATTCTGTTGGACTACTTTTAGGGGACAAGTTGGCTGCTATTTCATCTTGCACATGGCTACATTATGGCATCATGTCCCCCGAGCACCCTACTCTGCTTGCTCAGAGGGTATCTCACTCCTTGGGGTTGCACCTGTCTCTGCCAACCACGATTTGTTGAGATGTGTTCCACATGTAGGTATCAGTTCTTCAAGTGATTTGTAATTCTTCCTCCGATCTCCAAGAAGCTGCTTGGTGGACCTATCCTTCTTCCCTCAACTCACTAGGAGTTGGTCAAGGCATTGTTCCTTTTATTGGGCCTCCTCTCCTGCAATGGTTGTGAGCCTTTCAAGCAAAATAATTGCACTTTACTTTTATGAAAGTGCAAGTGAGACCTATGTCCCATCCCACAACTTTCAGTTGCATTGGACACATGCCCATTTGCAGTTCCATGAAAATTACAATTATTTTGCTAATTTAGCACTCATTTGCAATTCCCCTTAATGAATTAATGAAATTTGGTTTTTTCTTTTTTATTCCATTAATTCTAATTAAATTTGACAAAAGGCATCTATATAACAAGGAGCATATATAGATAATATTTAGCAATCTCTCTTTCTATTTCTCACTCTTATAAAGGGAACAAGAAGTTAAGTAAAAATATTCATACACTATTAAAATTTGGCATGAAAATAAAGCCTAAAAAAATTATCAATTTATATGAGTATTTTCTATCTGATCACAATTATATATTACACAAATTATTTACTAAAATTTTCATTTTATCTATGATTAAAACTAAATTTTTCTTTTTAAATACACAAGAACAACTATCTTTTATTGTAACAAACAATAAATCAAATGACTCCCTCAACCCAAATATTTTAATTGGGAATTTAGACATAGTTGATATGAAGACAAAGGTGAACATGGAATTGGAGTAATCTTACCACATGTTGGACCTAAACTCTTTATTCCAAGCTCAACCCTTTTTGTTGGGACTGCGCCTTGCCTGCTAAGCATGTAATATAATTCAAATAAATTATTTGCATAGAAAAAATTTTATGTTAAAGCTACTATAGTTGCTTAAGTGACTTAAGTCTATTTATTGTGAGAGGTCAAGTCAAAAATTTTATTCTTCTCATGAACTCAACATGTTCAAGAGTTTAATTATTTTTTAGTATATACAAACAAAAAATATTGTATTAGATTATTTAGAAGGGAAAAAAGCCTAAGCTAGCCCAAACTTATAGTCGCTTAATGCTCTGTTATCAGAATCTTACAATTCGCGATTCGATTCACGATTTTTGCAAAATCGATACAAATCTGAGCGAATCTATTTTGGAAATGAATCTATAGTGAATCGCACGATTCACAATCGATTCACGATTCGATTCGCTTTTTATGATTCATGTAATTTTTTGGAACTGTCGTGTCCAACATATTTTTGACTATTTTTTGCTCCATCTTTTTAGTGAAAATGACATAATACAATTTTTAATAGCGTTTAGTACCAAAATAACTAATATATATACATGATTTGTTGTTATTTTAGTGATCATGGAATTTTTAATAGGATCCAATCAACTTCAATCTGACCCAACATGTTTTCAACTTTTCTTCTCATTTTTTTCCTTAAAAAATCATAATATATCTTCCAAAGATGTTTAAGATTAAAGTAACTTACACCATGAATTATCTATTACTATTTTATTAAATTAAACATAGTTGAATATTATATAGGTGAGGTCAGTTATACTTTTTAAAATGTTTTAGGCTTTAAAATAAAAGATCCTATACAATTCTTTCTTATTATTTGGTCATTGCTACTTGGAAAAGCATGTATACTTATTGTCTAAATATCAATTTGCTGTTAAATTATTGTTATTTTAAAAATTGAGAGTTTGTATTTGTTTATTGCCTTTATTAAGAATGGTTGATAATTATCTTAAAAAAGGAAAATGTAAAATGGTGATCTTACATAAAAACTTATTAACTTCTTACCTATTAAACTATATGACCATAATTTAAAACAACATTTTCATTTATTTAAGTCTAAATATTTCATATTCATAAGATATATTTAACATCCAAGTATGTAGATATATTTTTCCAAGTAATTTAGAAAACGTGACCGAATCTTTACGATTCACAATTCAATTCAATTCACGATTTGGTACAAGGCCATTTCGATTCATAATTGAAATCCCGATTTGACAACTATGGCTTAGTGACTCAAGTCTATTCATTGTGAGAGGTCAAGTCAAATTTTATTCTTCTCATGAACTCAACATGTTCAAGAGGTTAATTATATTTAGTATATACAAACAAAAATTATTTTGTTAGATTATTTAGAGGGGAAAAAAATTAAGCTAGCCCAAACTTTAAGCACTAAGCTCAAGCCCAGGTTCAAAAAAACAATTGGGCCTTAAAACTTATCCCACCATAACCCTACAGACCTATAATAATCTAACTAGGAAGGTCCATTGGGCAGATAGTCACTCCTATATGACGGTAAAAGGTTAAATCAAGCAACCAATACATACTCAGTGTGTTAGTTGACCATTTTATGCTATATTTTGAGCCAAATTAGGTTAAATAAGCATAATGACTACAAATATATAATGGTGGCACTATCAAAAACCTTTTCATATTTTCTCTTTGTCTATTTATTCAAGAACACAACAAAAAAAATACCCAAGTTTCAAACATAAGTCTATTGTATCATTGTATTTATCCTAAATACTAACATATACAAATAGTTGTAGTAAATTACTCATTTTACATTGAATTCCAACATAAGGTTTATTTAGTTTGGTTATAACTCGATGAATATATGCTTTAGAAATGATGCATGCATATCGTTGCTGAGCATGATTGCTATGATTCTATACGCATACGATGTACATCATTTGTGTTTAACCTGTTGGACTAATGTCATACCCAGATAAGGAGGATAAAATCATCTTATTCAAGGTGGTTCAGCCATGTCATGGAGTACCATAGTATGTAACACAAGTCATGGAGTATTGTTATGTTGTGTTGCATGTCCATGATGTGGCGATACATTCATTATGTTTTAAAATATGTTCACTTTTATTTTGTTGGTTAGTAGCAGTTATACAGTAATTAGGAATTTTGATTGTATATGTTAGGATATTAGTAGGCTTACTAAGTAGGCATCTAATTTATTCTATTTAAATAGGTTGTATTCAATCAATATATTCAAAGGGAGGCTGGAATATTTTGTATCGACTTCTTGGTGAAGTTATGGAGGTCTAGTTTTTTATTTTTAATTGAACTAACAAGAAGTCTTTCCCCTCAAAGTGGGTCTGTTATCGACTTCTTAAGTTTTTTCTTCTTTATTTAATTTATTTATAAAAGGATTTATATCATATGGTTTCCTTTTCACTCTAGTTTAGTTAATATTCTAATGATTATATAAATTTCTGGTACGACATCAACCTATGTGTATAATCTATTGTGTTATTCCAGCAATTATTGATATAAGCAAGGTGTTATATTTTTGTCATACTGCATTACATATAAAGATTGTGCACAGTGCACAATTCATGATGTTAGGGATGTCACTGAACCTACTAGCTCTGTTTCCACTCAGTGGGCTAGCTAATGAGCTATGTGATGCGTTTATGATTATCTATTCTATTATATAAAGCATAAACCCCATTTGGTGTGATCATTGTCACACTTTGTTTTCTAAGAATGCCCTCCACATCCAATAACTGCCAAATCCAAGTTTTTCTTATTCATCAAACAGTCCAATATTGTTAACGGTCTTCTGCATGCATCAAACCATCCAAAAATTTAAATGTAAGATTGCAAATGCATCGCATTGCACCCACTGCTTTGTTTTCTAAATTTTAACATACAGGTATATATGTAGGATATTTTTCTACAACATATTGTGATGGCATTAAGGATTTGATCAAGTGATAATCATGCCTATATCAAAGTCAAAACTAGAAAGTAAGGGCAAAACTAGAAATTTTATGTAGGGGCCATCAAATAATTTTTAAAGTATTATATAAATTCTTATTGACTTCATGTTTGATAGTTTTCTCTGAAAATCAAGTACACAAGTTTTTAGTGATTTATCAAAATTTTCATTCAGAAAATTCAAAAAAAAAATACGAATTAAAACATTTATAGTATAGCACCATAATTAAATTCAATAACGTTTTTATTCACAAAAATTAAATTCATAATTTGAATAAAAAATTACATGTGCTATACAGTGTTGGACTTCTGAAAATTTGTGTTGTTTTTAGATTTGACTTCACAATTTAAGAGGACCTCTAGTGTGTTGCAGTCTTGGTCTGAACAACATGACTACTATGACACACTTAGAATGGGAGTAGGAGTTTGGGCTGGTAAGGCCAGAAGGGTTGGGCTGGCCTGAGTAGAGGTTGGGATGCTTCCGATTGAAGGTGTTGGAATTTTTGTGATTGAAGGTGATTGGGTCAACGAGTTAAGAAGTGGGTATGGCTATAGATGTTTGACTGGTAGGGACTAGGTTATAAGACTGATTTGGGCATAGACTTGTTTAAAATATAGAATAAATTGGATGACAAGTTTCTGGGCTAGAGTGAGACCAGTGAGAGTGACAAGTTCGGAGTGGGTTAAGGATATAGGGTCGGTTTTAGGGTGTAGGCTGGGTTGGGTTGGGGTTTTGGACTTGTTCCTTTCATTTCCTCCTCTCTATCGATCAACGTCTATGGAAAATCGAGACAACACAAGTTGGCAATGGTGCTGCTGGCAACTGTCGACGAGGATGAACCAAGTTGACTTCCGGTTATGACGCGTCAACGACGAAGATGGTGTGAAGCCAACCCTCCCGTTGGTGATGACAAAGGCCACTAATACCGATGGGTTCCGACAAACGACAATGTTAACTCTAGTTCGTGGATAGCCTTTTGCAGATGTTGAGCAACAAGATACTGATGACGATTGGCTAATGACGACATTGGGTGTCATCGATGTGTGGTCACGATGATTGTCCAAGTTCAACGACGCGAAGGTTGAACAGCAATGAGTGGTGTTGGAATGACGATGCCTCTGGCTTAATGTCAAAGATTGGTGAATGGAAGCTGATGGTGGAAGCAACTATACAGAGGATACAATACACTCTGGATTGAAGGTTACTCTGATACGACTTGATGCTAGACAGCCGACAAAAATAAACACAAAACTAAAGAACAGAAGAAAACCATAGCAAAAATTAAACTCTCAATTAATGTGTTCAATATCAAAAGTGTCCTCAATTAACCATAAACTCAATATTTATAGTCCAACTAACAGATAAAAATAAGAAACAAAATAAATTCCGAAAAAACCCAAAATTAAACTATTGATTCCCTAAATAAAATATCCCAAAATAAATCAAGCTAACTAAATTAATTCTAATTCTTTTGCGCCTGCCTCAAATAAGTGCGATGAATCTTGGGCTATAAAGCAACAACACTTCAAAACAGGTGTCGTAGCAGTGTCAAACGCACGGACATAGCTAGGGCACATAAGGGACACACCTCCTTTTATAGTTAAGTTGTTTTCAGGGAAAACGTCAGGGACATGCCAACTAGTTTTTTTTTTTTTTCTTTATTATTTTATGAATGTTGGATGTTAAATGTTTATTACTTTTACTTAGATTTAAATAATTAATAGATCATTCATAAAAATAGACAAACCATAAGAGTTAATTTGAGAGAGTTTTTTTTATATTGAATTAGTGTTAGATTTTGTTAATTTTGATTGTTTGAAGATGTAATATTAATCTACATAACAAATAAAAATTATTGGCATGTTCTTGCCATGTCTATGTCCCAATTTTTTTGAAATCACCATGTTCTGTGTCCGTATCCATACTTCGTAAGCCTCAAGCTTCTGCATGTGACCCCCATCACTAAGTCAATTAGATCAGGGAAGCACATTGAACATGTTCATTTACCTATGCAAAGGTTATATTCATGTGCATTTGTGTGAGCATCGATAATACTTGTGTTTCATTTTGGTGCGTTGGAGGCTGCAACTTGAGAGAGGGAATAATGAGATTTCTGATATTATTATTATTGAGATATCTGTTACTTAGCTTAAGAATTGGGATCAAGTATTAAAGAATGGACTGTATTCTTTAATTTTTCCTTTTTAAGCATACACCTAAGTGATTAAGCGTTTAAGATTCCACAATTGGATAATCAATGCCCACACAATTGGATTAAGCATTTAACTATTAAAGAATATTTGGATTTGAACAGAGTATTTAGACATCTTAAAGCATAAAGCCTTCCACAATTAACAATTGGCTTTAACAGAATAGTTGGCATTAAGGAAATTATTTTGGTACATGTACATGATATAGTGACCATTTTAATTGTGGAGTTTTGTGGAGTTTTACTGGTTACTTATACTTGAACTAGTGGAACAGCAACTAGTATTTTACGAAAATCCTTAAAAAACAAAAATATCTATATATATTATTGGGTAATTGTTTGTGATTTGTTTTCTTATACCACATAAATTTTATTTTAAAGAATTAGTTATATTAGTGGGAGTTCTTTACCTTGTAAAGGTATTTTGAGTACGAGCATTGTAATTTTATTTTTATTTTTATTAAATTCATAACAATCTTTTGCTCAATTTTGGTTTCTCAAGGAAATTTTTTTTATAGTCAACTATATTTGTGAGGATTGGGGCCAATCAATTATTTGTTTGGTCTTAATATTTTTCATAGTTTAGTTATTGCCCATATAAATATATTTCGTTTATAGGAACATGGAAAAGAAATTTGAAGTCTTCCAATCCTTGGTTGTTTCAGTGTTTTTTTTTTGGGCAAAACAAAAAAAGGTTCATTAAAAATAAAAAGTACGACAGTCCTAAATCAGAGGGAAAAGCATACAGATAAAAAAACCCTCCCAGAAAACAACAACTCCCATACTAACAAGGGCAGCGCTACCCTTTCAATAGGGTATGCAATTGAATAATCTAAAATATATTTTTTTAAAATAAATTAGTGATATATATGTTAAAACAGTCCATTCTCCATTTATGAATACCCTGTCCCACTACATTGAACACTCAAATCAAACCAACTCATTTTGCTGAACACGCACTCCACTCCATTGAATATCCAATTCATAACCCACTAACTCTTAAAACAATAATGTTAGGATTATTATCTTTTCTCATCATAATTTCTTTATCACCTTATGTGTCAACATTATGGTAGTTTAATGAGTCTCCCCCACTCATGCTTGTTACCAATGTTGATACATGAGATCATAAACAAAACATGGAAAAAAATATGGTCATTAACACTTAAAAAGAAAAAAAAAACGTATATGGTTAAGTTTCTTATATATACAGATTCTTCTTTGTTTATGTTTCTTCTCTCCAACATAATAATACAAAACATATATATTCATGTATTTTATTCCTTATCTAAAAATTTTATGCCAATTCATGTTCAAAATTAATTGATCGATCAAAAACGTTTGGGAAGTGGCTTTTTTAGTGCTTTGGTTTTGACTAAAATATGAGGTGAAAAAATATGTTTGGGAAAGATTTTTTGATTTTTTACGAAAAACATGCAAAAAGTAAAGTGAAATGGGAATTCTTTGTAGAGGATGCCTTATCCTCGTCTATTTTTGTCCATATATAAATTTCTTTGTTGTTGATCAAAAAAAAGAAAAAGAAAAAGTAAAGTGAATGAAAAGGAATCTTTTACTTTTTTGTATGAGTTGAAAACTTTTTGGCTTTTTAATAGCTTTTTAACTTTTTGACTTTTTTAGTAACATTTTGACTTTTTGGCTAAAATAGCACCTCATACAAAAAAGTCAGATTCCTTCCCATTCACTCTACTTTTTGCATGTCTTTCAGTAAAAAGCCAAGAAGTTCTTCCCAAACATATTGGTTTTTTTCACCTCATATTTAGCCAAAAAGCCACTTCCCAAACAGGCTCAATTTATAACTTGCTCGACAAATTAACCATAGAGGCAGACTGTATGGGAAAAAAATATCATCTTATCATGCTAGTGATAAAGACAATATATATTTATGATAAAAGTTCATGTATCTACATTTTTTTTTTTTTGAAACAATGGCAACAATATATTATAATTTTTTTAATTTGTGATTTGGAATGCGGAGTCGGTGGATCATTTGCTTATTCATTTGGATGCTTATTGCTACGACTTTTGGTTTGGCTTGGGTTTAGCGAAGTTCGGTATTAGCGATGTTGCAAAGTTGGGTTGGGGGGAGGGTTTGAAAGAGGCGTCGGAAGACATGGATGCTTGCGGGGCATTGTTTGATGTGGTTGATATGGTTGGAGTGGAATAGGTGTATTTTTCATGATGTGTCTCGGTCCGATCCGTGGTTGAAGTGGCGGTTACTCATTGTGCTTCATAGTTGGGTTACGATTACGGTAGATTCGGATGTGTTGGCTTTTGTAGATTTTGTAGAGGAATTGATTAGTTAGGCTTTGTGCTGTTTTAGGCTACCTTTTGTATTCTTTACATCGTCTTGATACTTTTTTAATAAAATTTGTTTATTTATCACCAAAAAAAAAGTCTAATATACTACAATATATTACAATTTTTTTAATTCATAAAATTTAAATTTTTTAATGTCTACCTTAAAAAAAAATCCTAGAGCCACCACTGCATACTAACAGAGACAAAACTAATACCCATCATAAACCCCAAAACTCTAATACACAGTTTTGAATTCCTAAGGCCATCTCCAATCCTTCGTCAAATGTTTCATCAAATTTAAATTTGATCAAAAAATGGATAAAATTGTGCTCCAACCGTTTCATCAAATGAAGAGAGTTAAATTTTTCATTAAATTAAGGGAGCTTTTGACCTTTCATCAAATTTTGTAGCTAGCCATTGGGCCGGACATCTGCCCAAACAACCAGACTTTCTTCATCTGAATGTCAAATTTTACTCATGGCTGGACATCCGTCCGGTCATCCTTCCGGACAACCGGACTTGCAAAAAAATTTGATGAAAAATTTAAATTTACCATTGAAATGCATCATATCAAATCAAATTTTTCATCAAATTTGATGAAGGAATGGAGATGCTCTAACCCATTTCAATGCTTATGATAATGTCATTCACAAAATAATCCTTCAACCCTTTAAAAGCCTTGACCCAATGTGCAGTTTGCACCAAAACCAAATCTGCAGTCTCTCCATTCCAAAACCTCCTTGTTGAACACTGAATTGTTACAAGTAAGCCAAATGCTCCATAATGATGCTTAGTTGTTTCAGTTGTTTTGCCATATATTTTTGAGTGTTGTAATGGAATGTTTAAATGGCATGTGATATGTCACAGTTATGATCTTATGTAAGGTTAGAGCATTCCAATAGATGAACTAATGAGTTTGTTAGTGTCAGCTCCTAAATCAGTTAGCAAGCAAGAGAGAAAGAGGAAGGAGGGGACAAGCCTGACAGAAAAAGTACCAGAGCAGAACATTTTTTAAAATTTTCTTTTGTCCTTTCTATACATATATAATACATGTATACATTATATTATTTACTAACACACATCATTGGAGCACCCCATTCACTCTCTAAATTAGCAAACAATTAACACACAAAATTCGGTTCCCACTTTTCACCAACTAACACACTTTATAACACACAATCTAAACCATCCCACCGTGGATGCTCTTACTTAACATTACAACAGAAGTACGAGAAGGCTAGATACGCATTTTATAGCTGTTTATACATGGGTTTGAAATGACTTTATTTAAAAGGTTGTCACTTCAGATATATATATGTATATATATATGTGTGTGTGTGTGTGTATGTATTAGAAGTCATATATATATGAGAAGGGTAGCACTCACTGCGTGTGCACTTTATACAAGAAATTCGGTGCATTTGTTTTGTTTTAATAACTGATTATCTTTCTTTAAAAATAAAATAAAAAATATTGTCTATGAACTATCTTCCATCATATACCTCCTAATTCCTTTCTCTATTCAATTATCTTACCAAGTGTAATTAGTTGGGCACTAGCCGAAATTAAATCTCACATACATACATACATAATCTATGTAAGATGCATTTACATACTGTTTCAGAGAAAAAGAATCGGAAAAGCAAACATGCCATATACAACCAACATATAATTATATGATGCAAAGAAACCATGCAAAATTCGTGAGGCCAAGGGGTTGGTTGTATGAATGCAAGTAGCAGTAGTAGGGGTATTCTGTACTTTCCAAATCTCTCTCGATGCATGTCATCTACCTGTACCTTTAATTTCATGCCGTTAATGAAATTTTTCTTTGCTGATCAAAAAAAGAAACCATGCAAAAACACACCTTGTGAAAAGAGGCTCCTTTGTTCCTTTCTTTTCTTTTTTTCCTTCCACTCCAAAGCCCAAAGGAGCGTCAAAACTCCTACATTTTATTGAAGGACCTAGAGAGAGAAAGAACCCACAAACACGTCACTGGTGAGTTAAAATTAAGGCTCCTTGATTAATCAATTGGGTCAAGTTAAAACCTCTCCCTAGCTGCTGCTGATAAAAACCAAAACTTATCTGCAAGGCACAATTCGGGTTAGATTCGCATCTAAAAACTCATAGCCTCATTGAAATAAAAAGTGCGAAAACAAATACAACTGAAAGGAGTTTTGACAGACGGGGTTACCAAGAATAAAAACCTAACAGGAACTATCTAATAATTTTTCAAAACATGACTTGAAGCTTTAAACTGTAGGGGAAAAAATACATGATTGAAAATTTGATATTATAAAATATATATATATATATATATGTGTGTGTGTGTGTGTGTATGTGTGTGTGTGCGCTATATTTTAAAATTGATATTAACCACAACAGTCTCTCATCTTAATTTTGTAAATTTACAATGTTCTCATTATTAACAGTTCTGCACTGAGAGTTAAGAAAAGGGTGACATAAATTTGATATCACAATTCAAACTGCCATCTTCATCATCCTTAAACCTATTCAAATAGAAATTAGCTTAGTCGATAAAACACATGAAAAAAACCTATACCTGTATATATGCATGTACGCAGAGAAAAAAAGAGACAGAAAGGGGACAACATCTTGGAATTGAAATTGTTCAATTTGCAAAATCCAGAAAGGAGGTAATTACAAAGCAAACCACTCCATACGGAACACCCATCAAAATTCAAATATGAAAATTAAATAGAGATGTACCTGGAACATGTATGTATGTGATGTATATATCATTAAGTGCATATATATAGGTATATTTTAATTTGGGTATAGAAGTCTTTTTTCATGGTAAGGACACGGTCACCCAAAGATTTTTTTTAGATGGGAAAATTTTTAAATTTTCAAAATATATAAATGATAAAATCTACACAACTTCAATTTTGAGTGAACATCAACTGGTCTTCTGCCTTCATAGTTGTCAAATCGATAGTCACACTGTGAATCAAAATCCTAATTTTGTGAATCATGAATCAAATCGAATCGATAATTGTTAAGATTCAATACAAACTATTAAAAATTATGTTAAACAGTTCTATTTACAAAAATAAATAAATAAAATTTGATTTTAGCATGTTTTATAAAATAATTTTTATATAAGAACATGATTACACCGTCTAATTGGGAATAAATTGCCCTCATAACAAGAGGTGTGCCTAAATCCCACCAACCATGAAAATATTCAAAAATAATAATATAATCTTTCTTAACATTCAAAAGAATAAACCTAGAAACTCTTTATAGAGTATAATAATAAGAAAGAACTTAGTAGAATTTTTTATTGTAAAACCTAAAATACTTTAAAAAGTATGTGCATTCATTGTTCAAAAAAGAAAACATACATGTATATATACATGTATGCAGAGAGAAAAAAACAAAGAAGGGGACAACATCTTGACATTGAAATTGCTCAATTTGTAAAATCCAGTAAAAGAGAGATTGAGAGGAGTTAATTACAAAGCAAACTACTCCATACGGAACACCCATCAAAATTCAAATATGAAACTTAAATAGAGATGTACCTGCAACATGTATGTGATGTATATATCGTTACATGTATATATGTATAGGTATATTTTAGTTTGGTTATAGAAGTCATTTTTCATGATAAGGACATGGTCACCCATTCTTTATTTATTTTAGATGGGACAAATTTTTAAATTATATATATATATATATATATCTACACACTTCAAATTTGAGTGAACACCTATAGGTCCTCTTCCTTCATATGTTAATATATATAGTGTTTCAAAGAGTTAAGTGGGAGCACGTTTGATGATAGAAAGCTAAGGACCAGATTTCACGCGAGTATAACTAAATAATGTTGTGATTGAGATACTCGATGTTGTCTCTATTAAGGTTATTTTGTAATATATCTCATGGTATTTCTTCAATTAGTTGGAAGAGCTAAGCAGATAGGTACATTGGCAAGTCCATATGTCATGCACTGTAATGATGATAAATTTACATGTTTTGGTCCAATGCATATATCATTTTAAGGTGTATAAATGGTTCCTTAAGCTGTTATTATTTTACCTAACTACATCTATGCATTAGTGCCATTATTAGTAGGTAGAATACATGGAAGATGATCTTGAACTGTCAGTATAGATTGTTGGACAGTTACAACTGAAATTTTTATAGACGATAATGGTAGATGCTATACAAATTTTATTTACCATCAATGTATTATACGATGTGTTATGTGAACATTTCAAAATTCACAGTTGATTTAGGAAAATCTTGAGCTTGAGAAAATATTCATGCTAGAATGGGATTATTGTATCTTTGTTGCACTTAATTATCTAGACAGTTTATTCCAGAATGTTTTATGGATGTAAAAGTATTGTATCTTCGTAACAAACACACCACAAAAGCCTCATAACCAAGACCACTTCGGTTCATAACAAAACACCACCAAATCTCGTAACCAAAGCCAATTTGGTGGATATACATACAAGAAGTGTTACTATACACACTCCTTCAAACAGGGCATATGGCATACACCAAAAGTTTGAGCCACAATGGTTCATAACTTCTACCAATTTAGATCATAATAAAACCAAATTGATTTGAACAAAAACACCACAAAAACCTCATAACCAAGACCGCTTCAGTTTATAACCAAACACCATAAAATCTCATAACCAAAGCCACTTTGGTTCATAACCAAACACTACAAAGTCTTGTAACTAAAACCAATTTGAGTCATAACCAAAAACACCACAAACGTCTCATAACCAACCACCACCTATGTTACATGGATTCTTCTATTTCCCCCACAATACCCGTGTCCACTGGATATGACATGGGTAAGGGCGTGGAATATGTGCCCGATACTCGCACCCAATTTAGACACTCGGATCCTTTAATTTGTGACAATATATGAGAAGAATAAACTCACATTTTCTAGTAAAACAATACTTTTAGCCTCTTACTTGAATTAGATATACAAATTTTATATTTTTCTAAACCCTATTCAATTTCAAGTATATATTTCTAGATAATTTACAATATTCCATCTGAGAATATTATATAATATGCAATATATCTGTGTATATGACGCATCCCTGCACCCATATTCAATTTTGGATATGTATCTCAAAATTCTAAGATTTAAATTTATGAAGGTCTGACGCTTAGATATACACCAACATCCGATACTCGTACCCGAGTCCATGTAACAGAGACCACCACAAATCAAGTTCACCACAAAACTCTGTAACCAATTACCAATATGATTTATAACTAAGACCACAAATCTTCATAACTAGAATGTATACAACATTTTTGGATTTTATGGACTAAATTTTTTTCCCTAAAAGTAAAATTTTTGTTACAAAAAAAATTAGGGCACCAATTTCTACCGTCGCGAGAGTTGTCGCTAAAAGGTTGTCTTGAAAAGTCAGAAAAAGGACTTTTAGCGACAATTTTGAAAATGTCGCTAACAAATGCACTTTTTGCGGCCAAATAATTTGGTGCCAAAAAGGTTTACTTTTTTAGATGGAAAAAAAAAATGATCTCAAAAGGATAATAATTCATTACTAAATATCTAATTTTGTCACTAAAAATATAATAATGACACTTTTGGCAACTAGAATATTTCGTTCCTAAAAAGTGATTGTCCCTAAATTTGTCTCTAAAATCTTAATTGGTTGTAGTGGCTACACATTTTAAGGAGGTGTGTATCGTAGAATTTTCCTATACAAAAAGTTTGTATTGTTTAGATGACATATTTATTTATCCATTATCTTAAGTTCGGTTAATGTTTTTAAGTTATGGCCTTTATTTATTGTGTTATCTTATGGTATACTTTGTTAGTGCTAGGATTATCATAGTTTGGTGATTTCATGACTACATAATGTGCATCTTAGGTAGAGTCCAAGCCACTATCTCTTTGGAGACCATATTGGACAAGGCCTGAAGTTTTGAAAGCATAGATGTTATGGGAGTTCTTTATTGGCATGGAAGGTGCTATGGGCAAGTTTCATCAATGTTAAATTTATTATGGATAAGGTTGGGACTAGCCACCACGAAGATCTTCAAGAATGGACAAAGTAGTTCATTTGGTCATCTTGGTTAACCAGCATCAGAGACTGGTTGACTAGGAGTTTCATGTCACTGGAAACAACCAAATAGGTTGGTTGGTTGATCAAGCTAGAATCAGGTTCATAGACTGTTGACAAGACCCACATGTGGACCATCCATGTGTAAGCATGGGTCAACCCATGATGAGATCCAAAGTATGGTAAAACTCTGTAGTGGAGTATGGACTGCTCATTAGGATCTCAAAGCTAAAACTCCATGTGTTTGTGGGCTAACCATGGCACATGAGATGCCAGCCCATAGAGGCGAGTTTTGAAGAAAACTACCTATTGGACTAAATGTTATTTGGGGTTCTTTAAATACTAGCACATCTCTACTTGGTATTACCTTTTGAGAAATAGCTCTTGAAGTGTTCTACATCTGTTGTATACTGTAAATCAAATTTTCTATAGATTTTCTATCTTATGTGAGTGTCAGTTTGAGAGAACTTCATAGCACCTTGTAAGTCTTCGGAGTGAGTTGGAGAGCTTGCTTTGTTGGAAGTCTTGAGAATTCTCTTGAAGGTATATTTTTCATCCTAGTGTAATACATCTTAGGTTGTATACACTATAGCCTTTGCACACTTTCTCTAAGTGTGTCCCGTAAACTTTTGGAAGAAAGTAGTAAGCTTCCTTCCTAAGTGTTTTGTAGGTTTGTGAGTTGGAAGTTGGTATTGGGTTGATCCAAGAAAACCGTATTGTTTATGTTTCCTGTTTCCTGTTTTTTATTAATCTATAAAGGTTTTAGGTTGTCTTAATGAAAAACCTATCGGTGTAAAGGTTTTAGGTTGTCCCAGTGAAAAACTATCAGTGTAAAGGTTTTGGGGATCCACCAAATTGATTTCTATGCGA